GAACTGATAAAATTGACTCATAGTTTCGAAGCAACTAATACTTGACAAACACTTTTTTATTTTTACCATGCTGAACATGGACTGTAAATATTTATTTTTCACTTATATAAAATTTCACTCTGGAACAGAAATCCAAACTCTGCAGAGTTGCTTTAACAGCTTGACATATCTAGAAAGAGACTGCTCTTTTCCTAAATTTGACAATCTGTACGTTTTTTTGATTTGGCCATTTCATAATATCTCTTTCCGTTTTCAAGATATTCACATACTTTAATGAAATTAGACTTTAAAAAACGGAATCACAAAGAATAAAAAATGTGTTTGGTATCCTCATTTCCAACCAATCAGATACTGTATTCAAATTTAATAAAACAGCATTTGTGTTATAGACAAAACAAAAAAACTATCAATATTTTGGTTACCTGTTCGTAAATATACCCAAATAGCGGAGTACTTTTACTGGCACATGTGCATGGAGAAAAAATTTTCTAAAAGTTGGAAAATATGAAATTCAAATGCCGAGAATAAAACATAACTCACCATTCTGTGATCAGTGATTTAATCTAACTAAAAAGATGTGCTAAGCAAAATAAAATCAAAAAAACTATTTACAAACAGAAGATGTAAAAGCAGAAAAATAGTGGGTAAATACCTTGTTTTGATAGGAAGGAACCATGTTTTTGGATCTTCTCCAAACACTTCCTGGAAGTTCCTGTATCTCCCTACGTGGAAACCATATTTATCGGTTCCGATATCTCGGAAATTGGGCGGGCGAAATGCTTCTGATGAAAATGAAGGATGTTTAATAGAGATCATTCATTGGAAAATAGTCGAGGAACTCACCCAGTGTTGTTCTATTTTCACAAACTAAGTAACAATGGTAACAAAACAGTGACAACAAACTAACACCAAACATCACAGCAACAAAGAATAGAAACAAAATATGGAATCTGCCCATTCCCTGCAGGTCACCCTGAAATAAAAGAAAGTTTGCAAGTCAAATCAGTTGTTTTCATAAATTGAGAAATGAGAAATTAAAGTTTCTATGTGTTTTTACCACTTTTATAAGTAACTAACGTTACTGCAGTTTCATCCTATAAGGACATAATATAAAGTTTAATTTCTAATTTTTCACAAATATTTCATCATTTGAAGATTCTTAAGTCTTGCTGACAAAGTCTTCATTATTAGTCAGTCTATAATGAAGTCTTCAAGTGAAAACTTTCAATAAATGCATAAAAACTGAAAATTTTTCTTTCTTATTCAGAGGAATCGGGCAAATTACGGATATGCAGTTGGTTAGTACCTCGTCCACTAGATGGAATAATCTTTATTATCTATTTTCTATTGACAGCCATTGTAATGTTCCCAACATCAATGATATTGGTGTATATCTGTTACATCTCAAAGTGATTCTCATTGCACGATTTTGAAGTTTTTGTAGTGATCTCATTTCACTGAGCTCAAAACCATACAATAAGGTCGGGCAATATTCGAAGTGAGGTTTGATAATTGTATTATATACGGTAATTCTTGAGTGACATTATGTTGTTCACTCCAACTTACGAAGAGGAATGAAATACTCTGAAAGAATTCCGATTTTCAATTACGGAATATCATTGACTTTAGGTCGATGATGGCCACTATCTTGCACTGATGAGTGGCTAATGAGCCCGAAACCGATCTGCAAGTGTGCCCATTCCAAAATTGAAGGTTGACTCTTTCAGTCATATTGCCAATTGCATATGCAGGAATAACTTCTGTGAAGATTCCTGCACTGACGCCTGTCGGATATAATCCAAAGTCCTTCGTGGTATAAGCCAGGGGGATAGTTGTTTTCTGATAGGCGTCAGTCCATTCAACCTACTGTGTAGGTATATCCGAGACTGGTATGAACGTTTAAAGTTGATTTCTTTAGATTTGTTTACTGCCAGTCTTCAAGCATAGTCCACTGACTAATAAGAAAGTATCAGATATATGCCTCATAGCTGATGAAAACCTCAAAATCATGGCTTTTAGCTGTTTATGTCAGCTCTGAGTACCAAAAAAAAATCGTCAAAAAATGTATATTTCAAATAACTATATTAGGGATATAAAGTACTTCAGGAAAACTTACCTTCCAAAATGCAATAAAATACTCTAGTGATGTTAGGGACACATAGACACAGTATAAAAGTGCATATCCTAGGAATAACACAAAAAATTTGTAGTTGGTGAATGATACACAATTATTAATCCAGGGGCAGTGATGGTCCATTTTCAAAACACAGACACCACACACAGAACAGTGATGAGCTCTGTCAGGTTTCACAATCTTACATTTTTCACAAAACCTAACCCCTCCACTCACTGTTAGATTTGTAATAGGCAAACGTCTTGCAAAAGTCTCTAAAACTGTATTTTGAGTTTCAAAAGAATCACTGTTATTCACGTAAACTTCATAATCAGCTTCGGGAATCTTATACTGAAATAAACAATATAATGTACTATAGATTTCTTAGTGTTTTCAGAGATATACCGAACTGACAATGTAAACAATGATGATGAAATCAGCAGGTAGGAACTCGACACCGATTCAAGTAAGTCACTGAATTGTTTTTCTTTAGATCAAACACGACAGGGTTGAGAATAAATTTGGTTAAATCTGATATTTGGTGGTGTTTTCTGAATTCTGAAATAATTAGATTTCGATAAATTTCCGTCTGAAATATCGAGTTCAGAAATCACACTGGAGTTATCAGTAGTTACCAGCGAGATTTGTGCTGGTGTAATATGAAGGGGGGTACTTGAAATTTTTATACAGACGTTTTGTGCAGAATTAATGTAATTTCAAATACAGCCAAACACTTCCATACTTACATATGCTTAAAATGTATTGGTTTCAAATATAAAACAGCAAACTCTCATGGAATCTAAGGGTTCTGAATATTTGACTACTATTAAAAATTATCATGAACAGAAACAAAACACGGTTTGATACTGATGATCTAATGAAATGAAGTTGGACTGATGATTCAAAGAAGTATTTCACTGAGGAAATGAGCAGCTCAATATTTTCATACATCACGACTAGTTTGGAAATACTGTGAAGCACTGAGAAAATAGACATATATGAATAAGCTAACTCTATATATAGGACCTGAACAAACGGTGGGGATACCAAAATCTTTGGTAGAAAACCTTATTTGGAGGTGGGATCAGCTCAGAACAATTATGGGGCTACTCACGGGATATTGTCCACTGACAGGACACCTAAACCCAAATAGGGCTCTACAATGGAGATCTTAACTGAGGGCAAGGCAACAAAGGGGCAGAGAGCTCGTCACAATTTCTGTGAATGTGAGGCATTGGATCACAGGAGGCAAACAATGTATGAGAGAAATATGCTGTTGCCGCTCATTAGAGTACAGTAGCAAATTTCTACATTTTTTCAACTATGTAACTTATGCCCCTACAATGTACTCTATCTTTTTTTATGTAAATATATTTCTTTTTGTTCCTACCATGAACAATCTTTATACAAATTGTCATTATATCCACTATTCTATTCAGGTGTACTTGCCATAAAAACTAAATAGGATTTGCACTCTGCTGTATTAATAAAATATCAATTCAGTATATCTCTGAATAGTTTACTAGAGGACTGTCAATAACTCACTTGACTAGGCACTCTTCCAATATCTGTACAAATAGTTTGCCAGTATGACCAGCAGAACATGAGAAAGAAAACATGGTAAGCGATTAAGTAGATAGTTTTCCTGGGGACCTCATCCACTGTCACTAAAACGAAATTGAGGTAAACGGGGCGTACTATACACCTATTGTAGATGAAATTTACATAGACACAACTGGGCAACATAGGCATAATAGGACCACAAGACTATAGTCAAAATGAATAAAACTGGAATCCATTTGACTACTATAAAACACCAGTAACAAGAACCCCTATTGCTGCGTCCAGGTAAAGCCATATCAAATCGTTTTCATCAAATGCATTTCACCAAATGTATTCAAAAAAACCAGAGATCTGTTTTTAAAGATAAAGGGGTGGGGTGTTAAGATTTCGGATCTAACCTAAAAAAATAATTACAAAAAATTATCTTCAATTTTTCAGAGTATTCCATGTACTTGAATAAAATCAGACTCGACATATATAATCTGGCAATTCTCAACTACATTATGTTTCAGTGATTTAATTTCGAAATTGTTGTCATTTCACGGTAAAATAACAAAACACAGCTGAACTAGCTGAAGGATAGGTCTGTTCTGGTTGTCTGTCGGAACTGTTCCAAACAATCAGAAAACAGGCACCCAACTGAATACTGAACATGTTGCCGTGTAAATCTTTTCAGTCCACAACTGACTTACTGATTTAGGACGATTCGAAACAGTACGAACTGAGAACGAGAACCAGAACAAACCAGATGGCATACACATACTGACAGTGTAATATGACAGACAGTACGAAGAAAATCGAAGTACACTCATAGACGTGATAATATACAGACTTGGTAACTGAAATGTAAACTGAAATTGGTTGCTTCTTTTCGAAAGTTACTTTTACGTCCTCATGAGTCGTCGAAATAAAAAAGAAAATTACAGAAGGCTCCTACCATTCAAAATATTCATGACGATAAATTCAACTATTCTTCATTCGAGTGTATTAGTATCCACTTTCAATAAAAAAATGAATAGGTGAACATTTTTGAGATCATAAGTAAAGTAATCTAAGAGTAAGATATGTAAATATGTAACCAGAAATAAGTTTCACATATGAATTCCTCGGTGGTTTGATAATTCTAAAAACACTACTATTGTGGAACAACAATTAAGATTTGGAACATGGTTTCCTGAAAACAAAATAGTAACCAATGATTGTGTTGCTGCGAGAATGACTATGGGTGAATGACAGGTTTGAATTTGGAATATTTGAAAGGGTGATTGTTGAAAAAATGTTATTTTTGTAAAACAAAAAGCTTTCTGAAAACGAATAGTTTTTGTAATTGAAGAATAGAAAAATTATATCATATTTCAAATACCTAAATGAGTACAATCATATAATTTCACATTTTACCTTTTCTGAAAAAATGATATTTCTGAAAACCCTGACTTCATTTACTCTTTCAAGGCGACCCCTCTCGGAAGAATATAAAAACTTGCGACTGTTTCCCAACTTCTCGACGTTGCGTAGTAAATCGTTCCCATTTCGGAATGTGTCAATCTTGTCAAATGAATACAGAAAGATATCAATATCAATACTGAAATGAAAACTGAAAATACTGATATGAAGTATCTCATAAAGTCATAAAGTAAACTTTTTATAACTTTTTGATTTATTTTTAGCGTTTCCAATTATTGAGTTATATTACTCTCTAGTTCTTTTGTCGATGAGAGCCCCAATTACTATCTAGGTAGGTTATCCAGCTAAATTTTCTGCACCAACCTGTTTTTGTTGATGTAACTTCACATAAACCTGCAACGGACTCGGTTCACTATCTGCTATGTTATTGTTATATCCTATCCTGTTGAATTCCGGGGATGTATTGTTACATGAGTTTTTAGGAACTGTCTCCGATAAAACTGAATTTCTTGGACCTTTTACTTTTTCCTTCTTATATTGCTGCATAGTTCAGTTGAAAAGTGTACTATTCTCGATAGTTCTTAAACTCAGTTATAACATGTAATTGCTGAAAATAAAATTGAACAATATGTATAATATTAGCAGTTCAGGTAAGAGAAACAACTATTTTCAACATATACTTTCATCATTTGCAAAAAGATGTTTTTGTTAAGTTGAAATTGAAAATCTATAGACCATTGTAACCAAAAGTCTTGTTTATGTTTTGTGAATGGAACTACAATTCCTGACTATCAAATTTCAGGGGACTGTGAAATAAGAATAAGTAGAATAAGACAATGTGATTCAATATACTGACATACCTTTAAAATGCATGCAATCAGGTGTATTTCTTGACACTCTGAATTATTTTAAGAAGATGAAGTTATATGCAGAAGAAATAAATCACAAGTAAAGGTAGCATTATCATTTTAGCGACATCTCCTTTTTCTAATATTTTGATAATTTTATGTTAAAATTTTCTATTACGTAGCTGGTTATGGAAAAACAATTTGAACACAATCCAGAACAAGCTACCTAGAAAGAATAGTTGTGATTTTCAGTTCTTTTTTGATTATTTTCCAATGGAAATCTCTAATAATGTATGTTTTTATGACCCGCTGATACATAATGATATCTATTTTGTCTATAAAATTTTAATTTTCTTCATGACATTATATGATGATGATAATTTAAGCTGATAAATGCTGTCGACATATCTAATATAAAAATTGACATTTCAGGTAAATAATTACAAACCATGGAGTTGTCTCACAGTTTGACGTTGAATGAAGAAGCTTTATCTCAAATAAGTGAGGCAAAGAGGCCAGTATTCATATTTGAATGGCTCAGATTTTTAGATAAAGTACTCATAGCTGCCCAAAAAGTAAGTTATCCTCAATTAATGTTAATGCATCTTGAATATGATCACTTGATGATCGAAACATGTGTTGAGGTGTTAAAATAACGGTTTGGTATTGGGAAAAAACTCCAGTATTATTCAGACCTCCTATGTTTAATATTTAATTCCGAACATGCCTGAAGAAATTGGTGTATTAAGAAACACGTTTCCATTTTGTATATTATTTTGTGGAGGTCTTGCAAAGTATTATTAATTTTTTTTCATACATTCATATAAGTATTATTCAGTTTCCTTACATAACTCATTGTCATATATACAAAATCAACAAGTGATGTGATATTCTCAAAATGAAATGGTATTTGAACAACACTTCAGTGAGATTTTCAAACAGTCTCCAAAACTGTAGCACGAGTTGCACTTTTCGCTGAAATATATTTTTCTCTCCAGAATGACATCAAAGGTTGCCAAAAACAGTTGGTTCAGCAATTAATGAATCATATCCAAGAATCTCCAGGCCCTCCAACTCGAAAACTCATATCTAGATGCCTCGCAACATTATTTTCAGTTGGTGACACTTTCCTGCTTTTTGATACAGTGAATAAATGTAATGATATCTTGAAAAATAAGGATGATTCACCAAGCTTCCTACCAACAAGACTGTAAGTAATCACTGAAAGGTAGGAGTGGAATTTCTGATTTAAAATAAATCCAACAATATACTTCCCCACCCACCAGAACACGCTTCTTGGCGCTTGTTTCACCAGCCAAGTTGCATTTAGGAGGTGAGCTGTAATAATTTCTAAATTCTTCGTCCTATACTATTCCACAACTTCAGTTTAATAATAATCAACGTTTTTTCAATAAAATAACTTTATTAATTGACGGAGCTGATATCACTAGTATATAACCTTACAATGTAGGTATGTCATCAGAAAACGAACCCTTTGTTAAGGGTACACGTTTTTTTATAGAAAAAATATTGATTATTAAACTGAAAAAAACCTTTATTGTCCAAACAAGCACTAGGCCCAATTACAGGACACAATTTAATTTTAGGAATATAGGAAATACATGTATACATATTGAATTAGTAATACATTCATAATCATAATAATAATAGCTTTATTGAAAGAAAGAAAGAAAGAAATTTTATTGACCTCAAATTAAAATTTCTGTTACATTAGTAAATATCTGCAATATCAAAATTTGCTTAGGTACGTCATACTGAAAATATAAAAAATATACATAGAGTACATAAAAAAATCTCACAATAGTTATGACTCACAATATAAATACACATATATACACACATATGGGTACATATATTAGGTCCACTGACAATTGAATACCTCATCAATCTTATAGAAGCCTTGGTTGACAAGTGAATTTTTTACTTTGAAGTTCAATTCTTTGATATGAAGGTCTTTCCACTCACTAGGCAAAGGGTTATATATTTTTATGGGAAGAAACTCCGTTTGTTTGGCTGTGTTTTGATAATGCATTTTCGGTAGCCTGATGATATCTTTGTGTTTTGTATCATAATTGAGAATGCTGGAGCCACTATTATATTTATTTTTATGTACAAACAATACTGCTTCTAGTATATACATGGAAGGTAATGTAAGTATGACCCATTTTATTAAGATTGGTTTAGCATGGGTTCTGGAATCAACTTTTTCTAAATTTCTCATTATCAGTATTCCATAGTTTGTGGCAATGAGCCATGCCACAATATGCAGTTCTCAGCACTTCGTTCGAAACTAAACTCCTTAGTCCTCTCAATGCGTAGCGTCACCTTGAGAGCTTTTTACATATTGATGTCGTATGTCCATTCCAATTTAATTTGTTGTCAAGGTGGAATCCTAGTAGACACACATCTTTGTCACCGTCAAACATTTGGGATCTATTTGCAATGGTTATTTCCTGAGTCTTATTTGCGTTCAAGCATAGAACATTAGCGCTAAAGTATGTTTCGCATTTTATGTTGCTCAACATAATTTTAGGTTCGCTGGAAACATTCCACATGAGAAGCAAATATTTGCTAGGTTTGCTACCCAATAGTTACCCATTTATAGGACAGTACAAAATGTATGCACAATGCTAAAGTTTGACAAAAATAAATTAATAAAAAAAAAACAATTCTCATTACCTAAACTTTAATGAGATTATGATTGTGTAGAATATATCACAATGGAAACAAATGCTATTGAAATTCATACACATGACATATTGGAGAATTGGGCATTATATTTATTATATTAATAGGATATTCAAAAAAAAGGAAAAAAAAATTCAACTGTTTGATGATTTGCAAACATAATGTTTTTTATCTTTTCATTGAATATATTCAGTGGTGTTGAATATGAATCTACTTTCTGACAGACTTGATTTAATTTATGGCACATTGAAAATAAAGGAGATTTGAATAACATTTTGATTCTGGGTGTTGGTAGGTTAAAAGATTTTTCAGTTCCACCACTAATTTATGGCACGTGGAACTCTAGTTGAGGTAGTAGTTTTGGTGGCTTGACAAGATTGTCTGCCAGTTTGTATATGAATATGCAAGATTATAAGTTCTTCTGCCCTCAAGAGATAGAAAATGAAAACGCTTCAACAATATATTATTATCTATTTCTTATCTGAGATAGACATTATCTAGTTTGTAGATGGTATGCTTATATGAACCTTAACAATGGGGAAACTGTAGTTGCAATGTTTTGTGACTTATCAAAAGCCTTCGATTGGGTAAATCATAGACTTCTTTTAAAGAAGCTCCGCTGCTATGGTTTTAGAGGTGCTTGTTATGATTGGTTTGCCTTATACTTAAACGATAGAAAACAAATAGTACAATTGAATGGGCAACTATCACCCACTAAAGAGATCTTATCTGGTGTCCCACAAGGATCAACTCTGGCTCCAATTCTCTTTCTTTTGTATTCAAATGATCTGGCTTTTATTCCAATTAGAGGAAATTTTACAGTTTTTGCAGATGACACTACCATCCTCTGGCATGAAAAAAAAGCCCATCAATTGAAATATATACTATCACTAGTAATCTTAAAATGGTGAAAAAATGGTGTTATTCCTATTACTTATGTTTCAACATAAGGAAATCAAACGGACTTGCCTTTAGCACCTTCTGTGATGATTTGAGCCTAAACGGAAAAACTTTAGAAAACAAAAATAATTCAAAATACCTAGGAATATTTATTGGTGACAAACTGAAATTTGATCTGCATATTAGAGCTTTGACAAAAAAAACTAGCGTCGGGATATGCACTTAGAGTTGTCTCAAATGAACTGAGCACATTTACAGCGAAGACGGTTCACTACTCTATGATTGAGGCTCATTTGAGATATGAAATTGCCTTTTGGGGATTTTGTACTCAGCAATTATTGCAATCAGTGTTTGTCCTGCAAAAAAGGGCAGTTAGAATGTGTGAACTCTGTAGACCATTTTTCATCAGCAAGGGCATTGGTATCAAAGAATACTCCCAAGTCTTTGCAGCTGTATGTTTTTTCAAGTAAATAATCATTTATCGAATAATTGTGGTCAATAGTGCTATGTTCGTTACAAATGGTGATATATTTACATTTACTTTAATTGAGTGAAAAAAAAATTTTTACTTTCATGATTATTATTATTATTGTTGAATATAAACAGGGTAGAGTTTAGAAAGTTATTGCAGTTCTGATGTTTGGGAGAAGCTTTTCTGTTTAACTGCTACTATAAATACAAATTCAGTGTAGACATTTCGATTCTGCATTTATTTTGGACAGGATTCGTAAATAAATATAACAATTTCAACTTTTATTAATATCAACCTATGATTTTTAGTGCTGCAATATGCTGTGTTGGTACCATGTATGAGAAGTTGGGAAGGATGATGGGAAGATCATATGAGGAAACGGTTCACATCCTAATACGTTCCCTGAGAAATGCAGAATCTCAAACGAGAATTGAAATCATGCTAACACTAGAAAAAGTATGTGCAGGAATGGGTAACGCTATTTCGAATGTTCACAAAGACATATACAAAGCTGCAAGGCATTGCCTGATTGATAGAGTTATGGCTGTGAGATGTGCCGCAACAAGATGTCTTCTAGAAATGCTCAATCATGCACCATTTTTGTACACAACAGAATTGGAGAGCTTGGCTACCCTTTGCTTCCGAGCTTTCGATGGTTCAAATTACGTAGTTCGCTGCACTGTTGCTAAACTGTTAGGAACACTGATCGCAATGACGCAGCAACAAAATCAGGGTAATAGTAAAATCGGTAAGTCTGTTAATGGTTTTTTAGATCTTGTTTCATTTAGAGCACTGCCTACTATACATCAATTTATTCCCAGTTTCAATATGGAATACCACTTGCAGAGCGTCTAGTGCATTCCTTCTATCTTCTATATTGTTAGGTCAGGTCCAAAGTGAGTGGATCTATTCGACCCGCCACCGCAACTCGCAAGGTTCAGAAGAGAGCTGTAAGATGCCCCTGTAAAATTGAACCCAGAAATTCATGCAGAGAACTCATGCAGAATAATTGTAAAAATGAAGAAAGTCCATTACTTTTTTCCAATAATTTTAAAATGAGTCGTATTAAAAAAAACCTGTTCATCCTCTATTTTATGTCTATTTCATGAGGTGAAAAGTTGGTTTTCGTTTCATCTAGTTACAATTTTAGTATTTATCGAGAATGGATTTTGCAGTTCAGCAACAACAACAACACAAAGGCCCAAAATTGGTATCCCTTGATGAGGCATTAGGGGTGTTTATGTCCGGATTTTTGAGAGGCGGTGTTGGATTTTTGAAAGGAACTGGCGAAATAATAAAGGGTAGTTCAGGAGTAAACCGTGAAGTCAGAGTTGGGGTAACACATGTAAGTATTTCGTCAACTGAAAAAATTGATCTACTTATTGAATGTCAGATTGTTCAAATAAAAGAAAGTATTGGTGTTTTCGACTTCTTCGACACTTTGTGCTGCTGTACACTAAGCAACAACATTTTGATGAGAAACATTTGTAAAAAATGTGAAAAAGAAATCACTCGCATGTATATCTCGATATTACGATGTATAAATTTATATATTGTTAATGAAGGTATGCTGAGAATTTAATTGATTCAGTTTTACTTTTCTTGATTTTTTTTTTCACTTTCCCAAATGAACTTTATTTCAGGGATACGTTATATTTGTCCAAATATTGGGCAGTAAATGGTTGGAGAAAAACATGAAAACTTTCCTCAGTCATATTCTGTACTTGGCTGCAAATCCAAAGGCGGCATCTTCCCATGTAGACGCTGTATATTCAAGGAAATGTATCAATTTCATATTGAGAAGCGTACTCGGAAAAATGTTAGGAGAGAAAGCTCAAACTTCAGCATGCAAAGAAATTGCACAGATAGTAGTGAAAGAAATGAATTCCATTGACTTTAATCCAGAAAATGCCAAGGACGCCAATCAAGAAACACTTTTCAGCCAACATTTGCTCGTTTGCGCACTTCAAGAAATCGGGTCGCTGGTTTTGAGTTTAGGAACAACAGCTCATGACTTGATTACAGACCAGTCTCTAAGTGAGTACTTTCTCAACCATTATTAAACAGATATAGATTAGGTTTTTCCAAATCTAATAGTGAAATTTGTATTTCCATTTTGTTTCCACAGTGACCATTAAAATACAATACAATAAATGAATTGGTTGAATAATATTGATTATCTCATCTCTCATTCTCTAAAATTATTGAAACTATAGTAAAGACAAGAATAATAGACTTTGTTGATCGTTATGTGGGATTTGATGAGTATCAGTATGGTTTTATCAAGGACAGCACTCTAAGCGCCATAATAGATTTCATTCATAATATTACATAATAATAATAATAATATTTATTTATCCTTTGAGAGGTTAACAACATATAGGACATGTCAGTACAACACGTTAAAATAGTATAAAGAAAATAAACATACATTAAGATAAAATATCTCAGTAGTTTTAAAGTATAAAAATGTATAAAATATAAAGAAAAAAAAACAAGATTAGTCAAAATTGGATGTATAATAAAATAATAAAATCTGGATGAAAGTCTGGACCGCAATCAGCTAAAGTCGTCTAAAAGGAATTCACTGACACTGTAATAAGCCTTAGACAGGAGCAAATTTTTAACTTCTCTTTTAAATGACATCAAACTCATGGTTTTAAAGTGATCAGGTAGGTGATTGAATAATTTTATTCCCATATATTTGGGTGACTGTTCAAATTTAGAGGATCTGTGTCTAGGAATACTTAACAATTTTCCATTTCTGGTTGAGTAACTGTGGTAAGAAGAATTTGTGTTATATTTTGTTAAATTATCGTGGATGTATAATAAGCATTTAAATATGTAAATACAAGGGAATGGCAGGATTTGATATGATATGAAGT